CATCCTTGTGCTGGAGGGTATGGGCAGCTACTGACCTGAGGCCCTGCCCAGAGTGGCCTCTGGGGTAGGGTGGCAGGACTGAACTCAGCTGGATTTCCAGTCCTGTTTTCAACAAGCTGATTATTACCATGGACTCTAGCAGGTTTTCCTTCTATTCAATTCCTCCCTCTACTCTCCTTCTTTCCTGCCTGCAACTGGGCAAAATCAGCTCCTGCCAATTCTTCAGAGGTAAAGGATAGTATTTGAACAGAATTGCTGGAACATGATTTTAGGGAACCCAGACTTAATAACAATGTTTATTCTCAGCTTACCTGCCACCTCCTACAAGCCCATCTGCATTCAAGAACAGCATCCAGTGAGCAGCAAAGAAGGCATTACAAAAAGAGATGATATTTCTTGGGCTCTTTTTATTTTGAAAATCCTTTATATACACTATTCTGCATTAGCTTCAAGTATCTCTAAGATAGAGGTAGTGCCAAATTACTACCTCCATTTTAAAAAATGGGACAAGTGAGGCTCAAGGTGAAATGACTTTTCCAACTGTCACAGCTAGTAAGGGGCAGTGCCAGGACTCCATTATGCCATGGTTAAGTGCATTCTGGAACGAATGAACCAAATATTTACAAAGTTCCAGTGTTACCACAAATTGGAAATGACTGTACCACCATGTGCAGCCTCAATAGACCTGAATGAAAAGTCCTTGGTGATTCAGCAGGTGGAAACCAATCCCAGAATAAAGCCCCCTTACCTGGAAGAGGAACTTAGGGATGTTTTGTGGCTTGAGCTGGAGGAAGTTCCCAAAGGCGGACAAAGGAAGTGGACCTGCAGGGAGTTTCCCCACCTCTACCTCTGCCTCTTCACACAAACAGGATGATGAGGGAAGAAAAAGCTCAAGCCACAAGGCCACGGATGACAAATCCCCACAGGTCCATTGCCCTATGGTTGGTGCCTACAGCGGACAGATGCCCAAAGACTATTATGTCTTTTAGGAAAGGGGTGGGACTGAGGAGTCAATGATAAAACTGGCATTATGAAGGAAGCTAGAAATGTCCTCTCATCATTTTAATTGTGAAGTTTAAAGATGAAGAAGTAGTTTGAAAAAATGTTTTGAAAAATAATCTGCTATAGCTGGTTAATACTATTTTATTGAAGTAACCAAGAATAGTCAATAACAAAGTTCACCTCTTTCCGTTTGTTGTTTGTTGTTCAGCTATTTCAGTTGTGTCTGACTCTTCATAATGCCAGGCTCAATTTTCTTGGCAAAGGAATGGTTTGCCCTTCCCTTTTCCATGTCATTTTACAGATGAGGAAAGTGGGGCAAACAGAGTTAAGTGACTTCCCCAAGGTCACGCAGCTAGTAAGTTTCTAAGCTGAATTTGAACTCAGGTCTTCCTGACTCCAAGTAGGCCTAGCACTCTGTCCACTGCACGCACCTAGCTGTCCCTTGGGTCTTTTTAATTTTTTAGTTGATATCATTTGTTTTTGTAATGCCTCCATTTCAAAATGTATCCTCCCCTGCTGCTTTGCCCAGCAAATCATCTCTCTTTAAAAATTTTTATTCATTTTGACCTTAAATAAAAAAGACAAAAAAAAACCATTTCTACTTACAGCACAAGAAAAGAATTCAATATAAAACCATAAATTTCCATTTCACACTGTTTTTTAAGAAAACTATATAATGTATTACGCATCATTTTCAATGCTAACCTGTTTTTCCATGGTTTGTTCTAATTTTTCTTTTGTTCTCTGCTGTGCAGTTTAAATTTTTTTCCTTCCTTCCCAACCAACCCTAGAGAAAGCTACTGTGTGTGTGTGTGTGTGTGTGTGTGTGTGTGTGTGTGTGTAAGCTTTTCCAAGGAAGGCAGGGATTATCTTTTATGTTCTTTTTTATCTTCAGCACTTAGCACAGTGCTCAGAACATAGTAGGTGCTTAAGAAATGTTTATTGACTGATTTACCAAGTATATAGAGGGGAGTGAAATGTGAAAAAAAATTGGAAATGTAAGAAGGGGTTATGTAGTGATGGACAGAGTTTTGGGAGGCACCCGTGGTTGATATGGATGCCCTGGGTGAAGATGGAGAAAAGGAAACTGAGGAGGAGTTATGCAGGTGGGAGAAGTACTAGAAGAGGCAGCATAATTGAGTGGACTAACAGCTGGCATTGGAGTCATGAAAGACCTGGGTTTATGTTGTGTCTAGGTGACCCTGGGCCTGTCACTTGACCTCTCAGCAGCCCAAGAAACTTGGTTTAAAATTGTAAGATATGGACCAAATATAAGTGTTTAGGAACATTTTGATAGCTTTTCATTACTCTCCACATATTTTAAAGAGCTAATGTTTCATTCTTGTCTTTTCTTATGTGACTTTGAATATTTAGGTCATTGATTCTTTGGAATTTGTCATGTCTCATGTAAGTTTCTTGATTATTTACTTTGGGGAGGAGAGGCATATTGCTATTCTGTTCTCTCAGCAATTTTGTGCATATATCACTTTCCTGAATAAAATAGAGGCTTTTAAAGGGGGGAGGGTTGGTGAATTGAATATTAGGCAAGCTAGATTTTGAAAAAAAAAATCTTCAGTTTTCAGAGTAACTAATCTTATCCTTACCATCACATGGGGATGGTCACAGTTGTAGAGAGAGATTGCTCTCAAAAAAATCGGAAGATGAAGATTGATAAAAAGGCAACAGAATTTTTCAGTTAAGGGACACTTTGATCTTAGGGAGAGCAGTTTCTATTGAGTAATGAAAATGGCAGCCAGATTATGGAATGGGGAGTTAAGTAGGAGGTGAGAAAGTAGAGGCTAATGGATAGATCATTCTTCTAGGAGATTGACCATGCAAGGAAGGAGTGGCAAAGAAGGGCAATATAATTGAGGTTGAAGACAGCATGTAGAGGGATTCCCAGGTGGCTTTCATGCTGGCCATATGTGATTCAGCACCCCTGAACCTTTAAGATGAAAAGCCAGTCGTGCAGGACTCAGATGTCCTATGCCTCCCGGAGTTGAAGCAAACCCACCTCCTCCACTGAACCAGAAGAGCTGTTGTTAATTCAGCAGGTATTCAAAAAGGCATGTTGCATCAGTTTGAAGAGCCAAGAGTGCTGAGTAACACAAAGCAATAAGAAGCAGACAGGGAAACTCTGGAGTTAGGTTTTATTGTTTTAAGAATGAGGGAGATGTGAATGTTTGTAAGCAGTAGGGAAAGAAGCAGTTGATGTGGAGAGATTGAAAATTAAGAAAAGACATGGGAGGATAGAAGGCACAAGTTGTCAGAAGAGAAAGGAGGAGCTGTGATTAAGGGCCCACGTAGAGGAGGTGGTAGTTGCAAGCAGAAATTTCTATTCCTCCTCCTCCCTCTCCCATACTGGAATAAAAAAAAAAAAAGGAAGTGTGTGTGTGTGTGTGTGTGTGTGTGTGGTGTGTGTGTGTGTGTGTGAAGGAGAGGTGATGTAGAACATAGGATTTGGAAAATAATAAATTACCAATAGATATTGTAAATTTTTTCAGTGAAATATTGAGTTCAGTATTCCGGTGAGAGAGAAAGGGACATGTGAGAGGATTCAGTAGAAAAGAGAAATCTTAGAATAGATGCTGAAGGGAGGGAGATCACGAGTCAGAGATGAGTTCTGGGTTCAGTAGCAAGCCTACAGTAACACAGAAGTCAAGTGGTTGTTGGAATTTGATAGTTTATGCACGTCTCCATAGGGCAAGAGAAAAAGGGATTCTGACATGAAGGTCAATTTAAGATAGAACCAACTGACTTCTGGGTCAAGATATTGAAAGGAGGCAAGAGATGGAGTGAGGACCTGTAAAAACAAGGAAGCATGGAAGTGAAAAAAAAAAGAGTTGATGCAGAAGATGTGAGCCTCAGAATGTAATGGCAATGTGTTAATAGTGTATAGAATGCTGTACTTGGACTCTGAAAAATGTGGGTCTGAATTCTGCCTATAACACTTTAGGGCTCTGTGGCCATAGGTAAGTCCTATGATGTCTATGAACTAAGAACTCACTCAGACATAGCTACCGAGTTATACTTGAGTTCTGACCTGCTCTTGGACTACCCACAAAATCATAGATCCTTGACAGATAGATGGATTGTGTTATGTTGTAGCATGAAGGTGATCTTGGGTGGTCAGGATCTAAACTCTGGAAGATTCTACAACACTAGAAAGTTATAGGTCCATCAATGAGCAGTGAATTGGGCACCTGGTGACCTTCCTAGTCAATAGCAGAGAAGTCTACCACTAGTGTGGCTGTCATCAGGGGATAGTTCTCCTTTGACTATAACCTTTGGAAATGGTCCACTAAATCATGGATGGGTGGATTGACATTCTCCACTGATCCACATATCATAGATTGAGAAGCAGTTGAGAACACTGAGTCCATGTTGTCTAACCTATTCATTGCAGAGATGAAATATCTGACATGAGAATAGTGAAGTGACTTGTCCAAGGCCACACACATTGTTAGTATTAGAGGCAAGATTGTTCCCAGGTCCTCTGCCCTCAAAGTCAAGGCTCCTTCTGTATTACCATGCTGCTTCTGAAGTCATGAATCTTCAGTGTATGGAAGTGAAGACACACATTCGCACACCAGGAGTTATTAGCAACACAACTGTTTTTTATTGTTCTCCAAATTCACAAACAAGTTCTATACAATACAAAATAAGAACATGCTTGAGGATATTTGAAAAGAAGAGTATAAGTGGTTTTTTGAGAGATGTTTTACATATCTTCCTCCACACCTTAAAACTAGAATTGAGGATGTAGTTGGAGAGATTGGTGAGAGGGTTGCAAATGAATGTCTATAATGTAGCCCCTATAACATAATGACATAACATACTCTGCATGGCCATCTTATCTCTGAAATGTAAGAATCATTTTAATCAATAGGTGGGAATTTCTTTTTCCTTCAAGGGGATTCCAGTCAAAAATGTGAGAGTATAGGGTCCAGAAGATGAAACCAGCTGGCTAATTTACCAAATCAATTTTGTCTTCTTACTTAATGAGGAAGAAAGCATAGTTGGTAATGTGGTGGAACAGTGAAGAATCCAACCTGATTGGTCTTGATGCTAATTGCATTTGGATCTCCAACTGGTTTGAGGGTGAAGTTCTGCAGAATGGTGGTAAGGAACAAAAACAACTCCATCCTTGCCAGGCCCTCTCCAAGACAAGACCGTTTTCCTGAGAAAAAAAAAATGTGCTTAGAAATCTTCATGCAATATCAGTGTCAGCCAAAGTGAAATAGGACAATAGTGAGGAAAAGAATAAAAGTGAAGTATATAGATGGGCAGAAATGGTGAGAACTATTAATGTGGTTTATATTTCAGCCATTACTGGTCACTAGAGGGGAGGAAGGAATTCCTTCTTCGTACCATTCTAACCATGATGAGCCCTTGTGCAGTGGATCTTGCAATGGAGTCATGGTTCCACTAAAATGTGGGGGCTTATAAGCCATCCAAGAGGCTCTTCTCATCTCTTGAGGCTCTGAGAAGAAGCTAGGCCATGGGAATACTAGAAAAGGCAATGTGTCATATGCCACAGTGGGGCGATGTGTCCTCCAAAGAACTACCAGGAGGAGGCTCCAGCAGAGGAGGGTGGGGCAGGGAACTGAATCCTCCTTGTAGAGTGAGAGGTAGAGATGGGAAGGGTATTTTTTTTTTTACCAATGGAAAAAGGCATGAAGTAGTCACTTTTCTTGAATTTCCCATTCTTATCCAAGAAGTGCTGGGGGTCAAACTGGTCAGGGTTGAGAAACTCTTTGCTGTCATATAAAACTGAGGACAGCACTGGCAAGATTGTTGTTCCCTGGAGGGAAGAAATTCCAAGGCACAGTCAGTTATCATCATGAATATCCTTGATATCACAGTCCCAAGAATCTTCAATGACTCCCTGTTGTCTCTAGTACAAAATGCACACTCCTTTGTGTATGGTATAGACTGGGATGTCTAGCCATTGAGAATCTGCATAGGCACCAGTCTAGCTTTCCTGGTTGATCTCTCCATTATTGTCCCCATTATGCCCTCCTTAGTGTTCAAACTAAACTGATACAACTGCTGTTCCCCAACCACAAGGCTCCTTGTCTGGTCTTCATGCCTTTATAATGGCCATGTCCCAATGCCTGGAAGGCACTCCTTGCTCACTTCGGCTTTTTAACATCCCCAGCTTTTTTCAAGGATTTGCTTGGGTACCCCTTCCTACAGGAAGCCTTGGCAAAGGCCCTGAGATCTTTGTGCTCACTCTGTCCCCTCAGTCCCTTGGTCTATACTTCATGTCTACACCTGCTGTCTGTGTGACTCTGGGGAGTGGAATGGCCAGTGCATTAGACAATGCTTAAAGCCTCTAGGGGCAGACCAAGGCTTCCTTCTGAGGGAGTTGATTCAGCAGGAAGCCACTCTGCTAATCAAATCACAGCTTGGGTCTGAAGTAAAGAAATAATACTTTGTGTGGACTTCTCTGGTTCCAAATTGTTCTCACTCCTGCAGAAGCTAAAGTCCCTAATGGTCAAAATCCCTTCTATTCTTGCCTCTTGTCAATAGCATTTGGCCTAGGAATTCTCACATAGACGATTCTTACTGAACTTTGATAATTTAAACTGAACAATGCACTCAATAGGGTATATTAAATGTGAAATTAGGCAACATGCTCCCTTCCTCTTTCTCTGAGGGACGATAGTTCTACTCAGCCATTGCCAGGAAACTTCAATCTGATTCAGTTAAATTCAGTCAATGCTTTTTTTTTATTATCCCCTGGAAAGCAGTACTTTAGAGTCTAAAGACATATGTTCTATTTTCAAGTCCAACATTTTTAAATGATCTTGGACAAATCACTTGACCTGAGACTCAGTGTCTCCATCTGCACAATGGGACAGATAATACTATTTACACAATCCTCTTCACTGTCTAGTAAAAAGGAATAAAGAAAATTTTCACTTGAGCAATCTCAATTTGTTATTTTCACTGTACATTTTCTTTCCAAAGTGTTGCCATGGTGAATGAGAAGCAGGGAGAACCAAGATAAGTATACACTTTCCCTTATTCTGCATTCAGCACCACATCTCAGTTAGCCCCATGTAACAAAAGACTGCCTTAAGGAGAACTTCATGTGAGATCATGACAATGGGACTAATTTTTCTCATGTCTAAAGTGTGATCACTGCACCATATGATATTTGAGATGTCTTTTGACACTAAATCCCATGGTTTTATGACTGCTGACCTTAGGGAGTACATAATTTTTGAACTTGACATCCTGGTTGACTGCATGGTGCAGGTTGAGAGGTAGGAGGTCACTGAATCTTTGTACTTCATGCACCATAGCATCCATGTAGGGCATATCTTGTCTGTCCGTTATGGAAGGAACTCGAATGTGTCCAATCACATGATCAATTTCCTCATGAATTTTTGCTGCAGGGACAAAAAAACAGGAAAAAACAACTGAGCTTCCTGGTCTCCTGAGAATGCCAACAGAGCCTGTGTGGAGTGTTTGCCTGATCATGGGACCTAAGATGACTCTCAGTGGGCTCAGTGTCCTCCTTCTACACAGTCCAGGAAGGAAAGGCTTTTTCTTTTCTTTTCTTTTCTTTCCTTTCCTTTTCTTTTCTTTACTTTTCTTTTTCTTTTCTTTTCTTTCTTTCTCTCTTTCTTTCTTTAATTTACAATTTATTTATTTATTTTTAGTTTTCAACATTCACTTCCACAAGATGTTGAGTTCCTAACTTCTCCCCATCCCTCCCCTCCCCCATCCCATGAAAGCTTATGTTCTGATTCCCCCTTCACCCAATCTGTTCTCCCTTGTATTACCCCTTCTCTTATCCCCTTTCCCTTTTATTTTCCTGTAGAGCAAGATAGATTTTTATACACTTTTGCCTGTATATCTTATTTCCCAGCTGCATGGAGAAACAATTTCCAAAATTTGTTTCTAAAACTTTTAGTTCCAAATTCTTTCCCTTCCTCCCTTCCTCCCCACCCTCATTGAGAGGACAAGCAATTTTACATAGGCTATACATGTGCAGTCATTCAAAACACTTCCATAATAATCATGTTGTGAAAGAGTATATTTTCCTCCATTCTATCCCAGCCCCCATTTATTCTATTCTCTCCTTTGTCCCTGTACCCCTCAAAAGCGTTTGCTTCTGATTACACCCTCCCCCAATCTTCCCTCCCTTCTATCACCCTTCTCTCTCTTATTCCCTTCCCTTCTACTTTCCTGTAGGGTAAGATAAATTTACATACCGAGGTTGTATATGTTATTCCTTAAGCCAAATCTGATGAGAGTAAAGTTCACTCATTCCTTCTCACCTCCCCCCTCTTCCCCTCCACTGTAAATTCTTTTTCTTGCCTATTTTATGTGAGATAATTTACCCCATTCAACCCCTCCCTTTCTCCATTTCCCAGCACATTCCTTTCTCACTCCTTAATTTTATTTTTTGGATATCATCCCTTCATATTCAACTCACCCTGTGCCCCCTGTCTATATATATTCCCTTTAACTGCCCTAATAATGAGAAAGGTCTCATGAGTTACAAATATCTTTCCATGTAGGAAAGTAAACTTTCCTGCAACTTTAATAAGTCCCTTATGATTTCTCTTTCCTGTTTACCTTTTCATGCTTCTCTTGAGTCTTGTATTTGAAAGTCCATTTTCTATTTAGCTCTGGCTTCTCAAGAACGTATTAATTTCCTCTACATCATTGAATATCAGTTTCTTCCCCTCATTTATTACACTCAGTTTTGCTGGGTGGGTGATTCTTGATTTTAATCCTAGTACCCTTGATCTCCAGAATATCATGTTTCAAGCCCTCAGATGCCTTAACATAGAAGCTGCTAAATCTTATGTCATCCTGATACTTGAATTGTTTCTTTCTGGCTACTTGCAATATTTTCTTCTTGACCTAAGAACTCTGGAATTTGGCTATAATATTCCTGGAAGTTTTCCTTTAGGGATCTCTTCCAGGAGATATTAGTGGATTCTTTCCATTTCTATTTTACCCTCTGGTACAAGAATATCAGGACAGTTTTCCTTGATAATTAGGCTCTTTTTTTTTGTTCATGGCTTTCAGGTAGTCCAATAATTTTTGTTATCTCTACTGTGTCTGTTTTCCATGTCAGTTGTTTTTTCTGAGATATTTCACATTGTCTTCCTTTTTTTTTTCATTCTTTTGGTTTTGTTTTATAATTTCTTTATTTCTCGTAGAGAGATTAGCTTCCATTTGTTGTGTCCTATTTTTATGGAATTCTTTTCCTCAGTGAGCTTTTGGACCTCCTTTTCCATTTGGCCAATTCTTCTTTTTAAGGAATTCTTTTCCTCATTGGCCTTTTGCACCTTTTTTTACCATTTGGTCTAGTCTATTTTTTAAAGTGTTATTTTTTTCAGCATTTTGAGGTATCCTTTAGCAAGCTGTTGTCTCATTTTTCATGATTTTCTTGGATGACTCTCATTTCTCTTCCCAGTTCTTCCTCTACTTCTCTTATAAATGTATAAATTTAGGTGAGGCATAAAACCTATTGAGCCTCATTTTCCTCATCTGTAAAATGGGAATCATAAATTATCTGTCTTCAAAGTTCCCTATACCTCTAAATCTGTTATCCCATGATTTGTAAAATGGAGATAATAACTGCACCCCCATTAGTGTGCATCAAATAAAACAATATATGTTAAGTGATTTGCAAACATTATATCCTCTATATTGATACCAGCTAATATTGTCAAAGAAAGTACATGTCTTCATTTTAATTTCATACTGCTAGTGATGACATTATCATCTTCATTTAAACCATTCACCAGATATGTATCTCAGCTCCTCTCTCAATATCTTAAGTTGCTGAGTCATAGAATCTCGGCATTAGAAATGACCCATTCTCACCTAGAGCCCTCCATGCTTGAACACACATCCTATTTCTGATGGAACGAACAGAGGGTCACTCAGCCTTTGCTTAATAACCTCCAATAAGCAAGAATTCCAGGGCAGCTCATCGGATGTTCTGGTGAATTTTAAGAGCTGGCAAGTCTTTTTCTTACGTGAAGTCTCTGTTTGTCAATTTGCAACTTCTACCCATGGTTCCTCTCTCTGCCTCTTTGGATCCAGCAGAATCAGCCCTGGCAGAATGTAAGGCATTGGAAGAAAGGGGATATTTCATTTAAGTCTTCATATTCCAAGCACAGGACTAAGAATGAACAGTGGGAGCTTCATACATGTTTGTTAAACTGAATTGAATTTCCCTTGATAGACCTTCACACACTTAAATGAATATCACGTCTTGCCCAAGTGTTCTGTTTTCTAAAATGGGCCTGTGGGAGTCATACAACACCAAAAGGTGGAAATGTGGGACCAGCTCCTGAGCAAGGCACATGGTTGGGAAAATAAGCTGGTCTCTAAGCATGGCAATTCCTGTACTTTACCTCGGATTTCAGGATGTTTCAGAATAAGCAGCAGGCCATATCTTAGGGTGCTGCTGGTTGTCTCTGTTCCTGCAGCAAATAAGTCTACTGCAGGTGTTATTAGATTCTCCAAGTCAAATTCAGAGTGGGGATTCTCTTTTTCCTAAAGGAGAGATATAAAAACATGAAGCAATGACAGACAGCAGGGAAAGCCACTAGAAACCATATGAAGTACATAAAGTTTGTCCTAGGAGCCCTCCCCCACTATCATTTCCCTACCCTGAGAGACAAGAACCTTCCTAATGCCCTCAAGATTCTATTGCCCAATCACAGGCTTGCCCTTCCCAGGCAGCCTTCTTTCCCTCAAACAATATGGCATAGTGGATAGAGCACTAGACTTTGAATCAGAAAGTCCTGGATTTAAATTTAGCCTCAGCTAAGATATACGTATGTATGTATGTATGTATCCATGGGAAAGTCGTTTCGTTCCTCAAGGTCCCAGTTTCCTCATATGTAACAGGACAGAGTTGGATCACTTTCACCTGTCTATTTACTATCAATGATATGTATGGTATGGAGAAGACTTAATCAAGTAATTCACTTAAAACCTTATTGACCTGGTGAGTGACCCCTTATACTTATATTTTTCCATAAAACAGGACATGATCTTAGGAAAAGAAGGAGAAGCAGGAGGAGGAGAAAGAGAAGGAGGAGGAGGAGGAAGAGGAGGAGGAGCAAGAGAACTACAACAACAACAACAACAAGAAGGAATTAAAAGGAATTGCAGATTTTCAGAAAAGGAAATTGAAAGGAAGGTTTTGCAGTGGAGAATACAGAATTTCAAATTTTGTAGGGAAAATGAACTTCATTCAGGCAAATTGTGACCAATTAGAAATTTCCTTTTCAAAATCCCCCTTAAGGGGTCATCTAGCTTCAGCTTGAAAGCTTCCACAGATGGGGAATTTGTTATATAATAAAGAATTTCATTCCAGTCTTAGACATTATCCTCATGTGGAAACGAAATGTGTCTCTGTAATTTCAAACCACTGTTATGAGTTCCGTCTCTTGGGAGCAGGGAAGCAAAAGCTTTCTAATCCTTTTGTGTGACAGCCCTTAAAATTCAATGGCTACTGAGGTCCCTTCCAAATCACAAAATCTGTGAAAATCTATGAAATATGCAAGCTCACAGAATTTAGAGCTTAGAAGTATCTTGGACATCACATGATCCAATACAATTCTTTTTACAGAAAATGTGGCCCAGAGAGATGAAGTGATTTTTTTTTAGGCAATTGGAGTTAAGTGACTTGCCCAGGGTCATACAGCTAGTTAAGTGTCAAGTGTTTGGTCTGAGGCTAGATTTGAACTTAGGTCCTCCTGATTTCAGGGCCAGTGCTCTATCCACTGCACCACCTACCTGCCCCATGAAGTGATTTTTTCAAGGTCAAACAGGGAACATGGAAAAACGTGGAACAAAGCTGGGTAGAAGCTCATTTTTTACTCAAAACCAACTGGCAGTGAAAGGAAATGACCAAATGGAGAAGGAAAATGACCAAATAATATAGACCAGGATATAAAACAATGAATATAAGCTATATAATTAAAAACAGATATTCTAGCATCTCTGATAAATGAGAAAACAATGTAGTAAGTATTATAGGACTCTCAGATATAAACCAACACTACCCTAGATGAAGCTAGGTGGCAAAATGGATAGAATGCTGGACTTGGAATCAGGACTTGGCCTTTTAATCCATTTCCTCACCTCAAAAATGGGGATAATAATAGCATCTACCTCCTAGGGTTGTTATAAGCCACAAGAGAGATAATATTTGTAAAGTGCATTGAAATTTTTGAAGCAGGTTATAAATGCTATAGCTATGGTTATTCAAGTGTTTCACAAAGAGAAAAGAATTAAAAGGAGCAAAGGATGAAGATTAGGCTGAAATAAGAGGTCTCAAACATGAAATACTGAATTGACAATTCAGAACATATGCTGAATGATGTGTTAAAAGCTGTATCGATTCTTTTAAGGTGAAACTAGCTGCTTTGTTACTAGAAAATAGAGAAATTTTGACATGAAATACAGAAACAAAAATATTGGAAAACATTGGCTCTCTACAAGCCAAAAGGAGCTTGAAGACAGGACGTGAAATAATTTGATGATCTTATACATCTTAGAAATACGAAATTAATTTTAAATCCTGAATATAATATTTCAATAATGCAAAATGTACAATTGTTAAAAAAAAAACACAGAACAAAATATATTTTTGATAGAATTCAGAGGCTGTCCCTACAGAAAGAATCATCAAACACATCAAGAAATGTAGTGATCAAACATTAGATCCTCAACACTAGACAAGTATTTTGGGCAATGAGAACAAAACCCTTCACCTATCAAGGAAAAGAAATTTGGACAGGTCAGGTACTCCTTCTCTCTGACAAATCAAAGGAGATATTGGAAAACAGTAATATTTAAATTAATTGAGAATGGGTTATAGGTCTACATAAGTAATTCTGGAAATATAAGCTTAACCATGCATGAAATAAGATTGGCTTACAGCCTCAATGTTGAAAAATGAACAATTTTGAAAGATTAATGAATCCATACCAATATAATCCCTAATTATGAGTTCAGAGGACCAGTGATGAAGAATGCTACCTGCCTTCTAAGAAAGAGTTGTTGGAGTAGTATGCAAAATAAGACAGATATTTTTGGATGTGGCAAATATGGGAATTTATTTTTCTTTATTATGCTTATGTGTTAACAAGAGTTTTGTTTATCTATTCTTCACTGAGTGCGAGGATATAAACATTTGATAAAAGAAGATAGCATTATGGAAAAAAAAAACATGGATTTCTGGCATTCCTTAAAAAGGATCTCAAAGTGAGTCAGGTATTTGACCCAGGAAAGTTGAAATCAGACAAGCATAAGGTAAATAAATTAATGAGAAAATATTAAGCAATGCAATCAATACTCTTATGCTTTTATGTCAATTCAACATTATTTTTAAAAATTACACATTGGTTCAGGGCTACTGAAATGAAGGCAAAAAACATAGAGGCAAAAGGAACAAAGATGCAATATTTCTAGGGAAGGTGTTAAAGAAATCTTGGTATCAACCTGGAAGATAGTTTCTAGTGAACATTTCAATAATCTATGTTTTTTTAGCAATATTTTAAATCAGTCCATCAACAAATACATAAGATGTATCTCTTACGTACCAGGCAGACTGCTAGGTGCGTGGGATATAAAGGGAAAGGAAAAAGCAATTCGGTCTCCACCCTCTAGGAGTTTACATTCTACTGAAGGAATGCAATATATTTAAAGGGAAGTACACATGGGATCTGTAGAAAATAAATTCACGGAGATATTTGGGTGGGACACTAACAAAAAGTGGAATAAGGGAAGGCTGCTTGAAGAAGGTATCAGCTAAGTGTAGAAGGACATTAAGGCTGCTAAGAGTTGAGGAAAATGGGTGAGAGCATTCCAGGGATGGGAGCCAGACTGTATAAAGGTAAGTAGGGAAAAGATGGGATATTATGTACAGGGGGCAACAAGGAGGCAGATTTGGCTGGAGCATAGAGAGTGTGGTGAGGAAAATGCACATCCAGGCTAGAAAGAGATGCTGGAGCCAGATTGTGAAGGGCATTAAAAGCCAAAGAGATTAATCTGTGTTGTTTGGATTGACATAGTGAGCCTTGCATTTTATACATGTTTGCTTTGCAAATTTGTGAAGAATACATTGAGAGTCTGGATGCCTGAAGAGCAATTAGGAAGAACTGTCATTGTCCAGATGAGAGATGATGTTAAAGTGAACTAGGGTGGTTGTGGTGTGAATAGAAAAAAATGACAAAGATTTTTGTCATAATAGGGTTCTGAGAGGGAAAAAGAAAAAGACATTTACTTTCTACTCTTTCCTGCTAAACCCCTTCCCCCCTGACATGAGTTATTTGCACAGTTCAGATCAAATGAGAAAGAGGATTGCCTGTTCATCTCAAAATGATTGTTCCTTCTAGAGCAATTTTAATCGATTGGTTTAGACTGTGAGGGAATGAAGGAAATCAGCATTTATCAAGCATTTACTATGTGCCAGGCCCTGGGCTGAGCACCTTACAAATATCATTTCATTTGATCTTTACAATGACTTTAGAAGGCAGATGCTATCATTATCTCCATTTTACAGTTGAAGAAATAGAGGCAGACAGATGTTAAGTGTCTTGCCCAGGCTTATACCATGATAAAATGTCTGAGTCCAGATTTGAACATAAATCTTTCTGATCTTAGGCACAGTACTCTATCCATACCAACACAACATTCCTCTATCAGTCTGACTGCAACTCTGTGGGACTGGAAGACAGTTAAGGATTACTTGGAATGTTGGACAGATGTCCTCATGGCAACTGAGTAAATTTCCGTAGTCAGGGAACAGTATGGGATATTATAAGTGCTCCATTTGTTTTCTGAATTTGTTTGTGGGTTTCTGGGAGACTTTTGTATCTTTGTCATTTTTCTGTGAAGCAAAATAAAGGCTGCCCTTTTCCTGGTATTAGTGGATTTTGAGTGCTTTTATGGAAGCTAGTCACAGCTAGCATTTACATAGTGCTTCAATGTGTGTTTCTTGGTCAGTCATTTCAGTCATGTCCGATCCTTCATGAGCTTATTTTGTGTTTTATTAGCAATGATACTGGAGTGGTTGGCCTTTCCTTCTGCAGTGGCTCAATTTTCAGACAATCACAGGTTAAGTTACTTCCTCATGGTCACACAGCTAGGAAGTGTGTGAGGCTGGATTTAAACTGAGTTCATCCTGACTCCAAGCCATGTATTTCATCTACTGAGCCATCTGCTGCCTCTGTTTTAAAGTAAACAGTATGCTTTACAAACACATCATTTTATCCCCACAGTCACCCAGGGATGTAATGATACTATCACCATTTTACAGGTAAGGAAACAGAGGCAGACGGTGGGAGTATGATTTTGCCCAGGGTTGCCCAGCTAGGAATTGTCTGAAGTTGGCTTTGAACTCAAGTTTTCCTGATTCTAAATCCTGCTGTACATCCATTTCTCTTGTTCAGAGCTTACTTTGTATGTATTAATTTGCATATTATCTCCTCCATTACATTGTATAGCAGGAATTCTCTTTTGCCTCTTTTGTGTCTTCAGCACTTAGTAAAGTACTTGGCACATAGTAGGCTCTTAGTAAATGTTTATTAGTTGATTTCTATTATCATTCTCTAAAACAATATCCTCCTCCAAACATGATAACCCAGATCAGCAGCTCATCACCCAACAAAGCAGAACTCTTCCAATAGTATTTCCCATACAGAGCTCAGATAAAGGACAGAGCAAGAGCAAACAAAAACCCTTTAATAGAAAGCCAATGACATTCTTGGGAGACATGAATACCTTGAGATTCTCTGATATTCCTTCCTGTGCTTTGAAGAGAGTGGCCTGTAAAAATCCTTGGAATATCAGCCTTGCTCCACGAGCAAGCTGTTTCCCCCATGAATCCTACCTGCTGCATTTTGGAAAGGTAGCAGTCAATGTAGACTTGAGGGTTGTTGGGGTCCAGCATCTTTTGATGCTCCTTCACTCTTTCCAAAATGAAGTGTTTCATTTTCTCCAGATTTCTGGAAATTATTTTATGTTTTCCCGGGAGGTACACTCTGAATGCTGGTAAAAAGTTGTAGAACTGCACCCCCCCAAAACCAAAAAGAAAACACATATGTGAGTTTAGTGTCATAAAGAGACAACTTTATATTGCTACTTATAAACTAGTATGTTCTATTCAAAGGAATTGCATTTCTTTTTAAGTTTAATTTTTAAAAATTTTATTAACAAAAAGTGTTTTCTTTTTCATCTTCACTACACGTTGGGAAAAAAGAAAAACAAAACCCTTGAAATACATATACATAGTCAAGCAAACGTAATCCCCACTAGCTATTGCAAAATAGCTAGAAATGTGGATCACATTCTACATCATGGGTCCATTCCCTCCCTGTCAGGAAGAGAGTGGTATGTTTCACCATAGTTCCTCTGGAATCATGGTGGGTCTTTATATTAATTAGAGTACTTGAGCCTTGCATGCTGTTTGTCTTTCCATTGTTTTTGTTATTGTACAAATTGGTTCAGCTCTCTTTACTTGGCATCCATTCATAAAGTCATCATAGGTGTAAAGCTGTCCCTTTCATCATTTTTCAAAGCACAGTAGAATTCTGTTGTATTCATATATCATAATTTATTCAGCTCTCCCTCAATTGATGAGCTGACCCTTAGTTTCCAGTACTTTGTAGCCCCCCTCAAAAATGTATTTAAACTTTTTTTGTATATAACTTTCAATTTTACATGTTTTCTTCTTTTTAATATTTTTTGTGGGATACTGGCCAGAAATGGTATTGCTAGTGCAAAGGACATGCATAATTTACTAACGGGGGAATGACAGGTCCAAATTGCTTTCCAGATTGCCTGAATAATTCAGAGCTACAAGAGTTTGTCAATATGCTGATTTTCCCATAGTCCCTCCAACATATGATATTTACCTTTGTTTAAATACACTTTTAAACATTTGGAAGGATAAATCAAGACTTCTCCACTTTCATAACAGCCATTTGGGGCTAACTTTTGTGTCAGTCTTCAAAGGGTAGTAAAGTTGTAGGCTTCCATTCAGGAAAAAGAAATCTTGGTATTGATTACGAAAGAGGGGAATTTCTAGGAGCTATCAACAGACAAAACATCTTATCTTAAATGGACAAAGCAAGTTTCAGAGTAATACAAAACAGAACTAGAGAAGTCAGAATCCATTTGGCCTTATGGAAGTTCAGGGAGTAAGAATCTCATTTCTCTGACTGAAATGAGCATGGAATAGAGAGAGAAAGTTGAGTAGAAGACAACATTTCTTTCTCCTCTAGAGATGGAACATTCAAAAAGTACAGTGGGGATGGTGATTAGGACTGGGGAGAGGGAAGTTAATTAGAGACTTCAGAAAAAAGGAAAGGTCTGTCACGGGCACCTGTGTCCCTGACAGTGTTTACTTTCCGGTGAGTATGAGAGAGATAAAGAGATACACCGGCCAGGTGGGTAACAGGTTCAGAACCAGTTCCGTTTATTGATCTGAGGGCTGGGGTTCTTATACCCCATTCATGGGAACAGAACCCAGAGTGGAAAAAGCCAAGTATCAACAATAACTTTTCTCATGGTAACAGTAATTGAAGGGAGTCCCCCTCGGAGTCGTCTCCTTGCTTCCTGGTTATCTTTCAAGGTCTGTTGAAAATCCTTCATCTTCTCAAGGGAAAGACAGTGCCTGGGAGAGGTCAGAGAGCCTATGTTCTGACCTAGGTGGCTCTTAGATAATGGACAGGGACAGGAACAACCCAGCCTGACCTAAATCCTGAAACCCATCAGTGCAAGCCCTCAACAATCTTCCCCCACCCCGACTGTTTAACTTGAGAAGATGAAGGGATGAAAAAAATCTCACCTAAAGTATGGTGAGTATATTTTAACAAGCAGGGAAGGAAGAAACACAAAATCAATACAAAACATAGCCAAGGTAAAAAATGCAATAGCAAACTTAATACATTCTTAAAAAGATTAAGTTGATCAACCCAATCTAACAATTTGTTTGCAATATCTTTAGGATCAATACCATCAATACGAGAATCAGCAATTTCATGTTGTATTTTGGATAGCTGGTTAATATCCCAGATAATATTGTCAGAGTACCATGCACCTTGGAACTTATTTAATATTTGTTCAATAGTTACATTATTAAAGTTTGAATACACATATGGAGTTACAGAGATAAATGAATAACAATAATCACATTTCAAATTGAAGCACATTTCTAGTTGTTGTATATGTTTCCCTAATGCAATTATTGATTGTTCTAAAAGATCCAATTCTTGTTGCACCATAGTACCTATATAAATTTGATATTGTAAAATCATAGACCAATTGTAGCATACTGAGTAGTTCAAAATTGGCAGTAATATCATGAAGGGTATTAATATTGAGGGTAATATTAGAACTGTGCCATGCCCTCAATAGGTGGGTACGTCTCTTGTCTCACGAAGCATCATAGGGTAGCAGGGTAATGTAAATAAATGAATATTTATAACCATATTGCAATTGCAACCTTGTTGTCAAGAGTTTCTAACTTATTTCCTAAATACAATGCTGATTGCATTATCGTGCCCGCGACAAAGGTCTAACCATTAAGTAATCTCAGCACTCAAAGTGGGAGGAAGAGAAACATTCTCTTTAGAGCAGAAAGTATAAAATCAATTTCTTTTTATTTTATTTTGTTTTTCAATTAACAGACCTTGTCTCTTCTTGCCTCTTGAATTTAAAATGTTTTTAAATTCTTGTAATATATGTGAATAGTCAAGCAAAACACAAATCCCACATTGTCTGTGTCCAAAAATGTATCTCATTCTGCATATTCAGTGTGTCACCTCTCAGTCAGAAAAAGAGCAGTGCATTTCAAATTAAGTCCTCTGGAATCAATGGCAGTCATTGCATTGGTCAGAATAATTCAGTCTATTGAAACCCAACCCTTTGTTTTCCTGAGCTCCTCCACCGGGCACTGGGCTTCTTCTTGAACTCTCTCTTCAATGCTTCTGTTCCCTATCCCAAAGTTCCTTAGGGTCATGAGGGAAAATCTGCAGAGTTGTTTCCACTTCTCTCCACAACTGGTAACAACTCCTAGGCAAAGGAAAAGAAAAGGACATTTGTCTTTCTAACACTGGAGGTGGATGGGGCACATTGCCCGTGGTGGCCATGGGGATTTTGGCTTAACTCAATGACCAAGTTTAATTTTATTTAATTCATAAGAAAATACAATGCAGCATGGTAGTTATTAGGTACCTACCTCATGAAAGTTTTGTCCTAGGTGCTGAGAATACAATATAAAAATGAAACCAGTAACTATTTGGGGGGGGGTTGGGGGATACTTTTTACTGGATATGTTCTGCCATACCCTTTTCTTTCTCCATGACTCTTTTAAATATACTAAACTTACCTTGCCCTTTGATTACATCTTCAAATATTGGAACAATTCCTCTGTCTACAAATGCATCTCCTTGAGCAATTAGAGCTTCCTTCATAATGTTATATCCCTGTAGCACTACAACACGCTGGGTTCCCAATTTAAGAGTATAGATGGGGCCATATTTTTCAGCCAGCTGTGAAAAGAATGCCACAAAATAGGAGTGGATCAAGGTGAAACTTTAGAAAGTTGGAATTTACTCCCACAACCACCTCATAATATGCCATATACATGTGTCCATATGTTTACCTATGCATGCATGGGATCATATGTTGTTAATGAATTCTGGGTGTACAAAGTCATAAGCATGGGACAACAAAATAGTATTCTTATTCCTTTTAGTTTGCTCCTTGGGAATCACTGTCATTATATGGCATAGTATCTTTGTCAGGTAAAGTTTCCTTGTGTACTCCAAAGGTAACTTTCTAGTGTAAAGAGGTTCTAAAAAAGGGGGGCGGAGGGGGCTGGGGTTGATGTTGGGTAGATGACCTATGGGAGATATATAGGAAGACATGGAGGAAGGCCACATAGGGTGCAGAGGGGATTGCCATCTTCTAACAAAACCTATATACTCTTGTTGCCTCTTCCCTCCTTTCTGAAATATTTGCAGTATTTTTTCAGTAATCAACACTCAACTCCAACTGAGCTTACTAAAGCTACTAATGGTCTCTGAATAATCAAATCTGATGGACTTATCTCAATCCACATTCATCTAGACTTCTTTACAGCATTTGACACTGTTGACTACACTCTATTCTTAGGACCCTCTTTTCTCTGGGTTTCTCTAATCATTTCTTGTTGGAAGGCCACATTAACATTTTGCTGTAATCAAATAAGGCCACATTCAAGAAACTTCAATTATATATCCTTAAAAATGTACATCATTTTGTAAAAAATCTAACCACTATGTACTTACTAATTTCAAAAATGAAAACTATTCATTAATCTTAAAGTTAACTCACCTTCTAATGACTTTGTTTTTTGTTTGTTTTTTTATTTTTTGGTGAGGCAATCAGGGTTCAGTCAGTTGCCCAATGTCATAGCTAGTCAGTATCAAGTGGCTGAGGCTGGATTTGAACTCAGGTACTCCTGACTCCAAAGCCGGAGCTCTATCCACTGTGCCACCTAGCTGCCTCACCTTCTAATGACTTTGTTGTGTCTACTCTTTTTTTTAGAAAGCATTTGGGTATTTGGTTGTAGCATGGATGTCCATAGTTTTGCTTCCTCCTCTAGATGGGTATCAGTCATTCGTGACTTCAGGGTGGAGTTGTGAATTATCCAACCATTGTGGAGAGGAATTTGGAACTATGCCCAAAGGTCAACCAAACTGTGCATACCCTTGATCCAGCAATACCACTACTAGGTCTGTATCCAAAAGGGAGCATAAAAATGAGAAAAGGACCCACACGTACAAAAATATTACTAGCAGCTCTTTGTGTGGGAGCAAAGAATTGGAAATTGAGGGGACCCATCAACTGCAGGATGGCTGAACAAATTGTGGTATATGAATGTAATGGAATACTATTATACTGTAGGAAATGATGAGCAAGCAGATTTCAGAAAAACCTGGAAAGACTTATATGAACTGATGCTGAGTGAAATGAGCAGAACCAGGAGAACATTCTAAGCAATAACAGCAATATTATGTGACAATCAGCTTTGATGGACTTAGCTCTTCTCAGCAACACAATGATCTAAGATTTTTCCAAAAGACTCACAATGGAAGATGCCATCCATATCCAGAGAAAGAACTATGGAGTCTGAATGCAAATCAAAGCATACTATTTTCACTTTTTTGTTTTTTTTCTTTCTCATGGTTTTTCCCTTTTGTTCTGATTTTTCTTTCACAACATGACTAATGTCAATATTTTTAATATGACTGTACATAAATAACCCTTATAAGATAGCTTGCCATCTTGGCAAAGTGGGAGTGGGGAGAAAGAAAAACCTTATAAAACTGAATGTTGAAAACTATCTATACATGTAATTGGAAAAAAATAAAATATTATTAAGTGGGAAAACAAAAAAAGGCAGCTTCAAGTTTCTACAGGGAGCCCAACAAAAAAACTACGCAACACTTGAGGAGAAAATCTTAAGGACTCCATAAGAAGGCCTTTCAAAAATTGAGGTTCCTCTTTGCTAGATATGTATTGTTGAGCTTCTTTCCCCATGGAAAATATATGTACTTGTCAGAATATATGACACAGGTTTCTGGGATAATGTTTCATCCGACAATTCTTTTTAAAATATTAATTAATTAATTTACTTTTAGTTCTCAACATTCACTTCCATAAGATTTTGAGCTCCAAATTTTCTCCCCCTCCCTTCCCTTCCCCCGCCCCAAGACAGCATGCAATCTGATATAGGCTATATGTACACATTCATATTAAAAATATTTTCACATTAGTCATGTTGTAAAGAAGAATTAGAAACAGTGGAAGGAAACATGAAAAAGAAGAACCAACAAAAAAGGTAGCAAATAGTATGATTCAATCTGCATGCAGATAGGCATCTTTTCAATTTCCAATTCTTGGCCACCATAAAAGAGCTGCTATAAATATTTTTGTACATATGGGTCCTTTTCCAATTGTTATGATCTCTTTGGGATAAAGACCTAGAAGTAGTATTGCTGAATCAAAGGGTATGTACAGTTTTATAGTCCTTTGGGCAAAGTGTTGCTCTCCAGAATAGTTGGATCAGTTCACAACTCCACAAACAATGCATTAGTGTTCCAATTTCCCCACATCTTCTCCAAAACTTATCATTTTCTTGTTTTTTAATGTGAGCCAATCTGATAGGAATGATATGGTACCTCAGAGTTGTTTTGATTTGCATTTCTCTACTCAATAGTGATTTAGAGCATTTTTTTATATGACTATAGATAGCTTTCATCTTCATCTGAAAACTGCCTGTTCATATCTTTTGACCATTTATCAATTGGGGAGTGACTTGTATTCTTATAATTTTGGCTTAATTCTCTATATATTTTAGAAATGAGGCCTTTATCGGAGAAACTGGTTGTAAAAATTCTTTTCCAGTTTTCTCCCTTCCTTCTAATCTTAGTTGCATTGGCTTTGTTTGGGCAAAAACTTTTCAATTTAATGTAATCAAAGTTATTCATTTTGCATTTTTTAATGTTCTCTCTCTCCTGTTTGGTCATGAATTCTTCTGTTCTCCATAAATCTGATAGGTAAACTATTGCTTGCTCTCCCAGTTTGCTTACAGTATCAGCCTTTACATCTAAATCATGAGCCCATTTTGACTTTATTTTGGTATGTGGTATAAGATATTGATCTATGCCTAGTTTCTGCCATACTCTTTTCCAGTTTTCCCAGCAGTTTTTTTTCAAAAAGTAAGTTCTTATCCTGGAAGCTGGGGTCTTTGGGTTTATCAAATAATAGATTACTATAGTCATTGACTACTGTGTCTTGCATACTCAACCTATTCCACTGATCCACCACTCTATTTCTTAACCAGTACCACAGCTTAGTCCATCTTAAGAGAGCTAATTGTTAAATTCTAAGTATGGCCATTTATACCTTGGACATCTGACAAATACCACAAATCAGGGTTTGATTTATTGTTTTATTTATTTGTTTTATTTATTGAAAAAGTGATGAAAAAAATCTTAACAGTGCAGTTCAACTTAAAAGTGTGACAGGTATATTTTTTTCTGGGAAGCCAATTTTTAAACATTTAAATTCTGCTTCCACACTTAACCCCTTGTGTACTTTTGGGAAGAAATCTTTCAGAGATTTTCTTCTGTTATTTTCTTCAGTCTAGTTCCCCTGAGACAGCAAGCAGCACGCCCCAGGGCTAGCTGGGTCAGGAGGTAGTCTTGGCCTCAGTCACAGGAACTTTCACTCCCCAGACTTTGTCAGAAGTCAGGTTCTGAGCCAGGGAAGATTAAGAGAATCTCTGCTAATAAGAACTCCAACACCAACTGGCCTGCTGATATCGGTCCCTGGGTGAGAAGGAATCAGCACATGCCCGGTGAGTACAGAAGCAGTGGGGCAGGAACACTGATGGCTGTGGGCACTTAAAGGAGGGTGGAGTTCTTGGTTTAGGTTCTAAGCTACAGGGAAGAACTGAAGGAGCATCTGAGGCCAGAGACACTATCTCGAATACCCCAGGATTAGAGGTGATTACAATAACAAACTGCTATAAATTTTTAAAAAAATGATCAGGCCTAGGAAAAAGAACCCAACCATAGAAAGTTACTTTGGGAATAAAGAGAAATGGGGTTCATCTTCAGACTAGGACATTGAAGCCAAAAAATAAGCTTCTCCCACCCCAAAAAGTAAGGTCAAAGAGTTACCTGCACAAAATAAATTCATAGAAGAATTTTTTAAAAAGACTTTAAAAATCAAATGAGAAAGATTGAGAAAAAAAATTTTAAAGAAAATTTTAAAATCCCAGAAAAAAACATGATTATGAAATGAAAGTCAACCATCATTACATGGTGGGTCACAGGAACAGAGTTCTGTGATGGGAAGAGGTTCTACAGTCTTTGATTCACTTAAGGTATAGAGGCACAACAGTGTAGTAATTGTGTTGTTAAAGGTTTGCTTGATCATTTCAACCTGCATTGTGAACTTCTGACTCACAAGCTAGAAGAGACAATTCTGAAAAATCTGATCTTATCTAAATTCATTACACATATCATATCAATTAATATGAAAATCATAATTCCCTTCACAGTAGAAGTAGAAAAAATCCACTGATTACCACCTG